GTTTTTATTCAAGATTATTGGCTTCCGATTTTATTTATTTCATGTTTCATCATCATATAACATCATCATCATCATTGTCGTCGTCTTCTGTCTGTCGGTCGATCGGTCAGTTGCTTGTTGTTGTCACAGGATCACCTGCTTCACACTTATAAATGTTTGTGAAAACGATAAAGATCGATGAGAGATGATATTTCAAGCCAAGCCTGCAAGTCAAGCCCATGTTATAGTTGGGCTTGTGTGTGTGTGCGTGTGTTTTTTTTTCTTTAATCACAAGACCTTCACATATTAGGTTCTAGGTCTTGCTCAAACAGTGTGTGTGTGTGTGTGTGTGTGTGTGTGTGTGTTAGTTATTTGGGATAACATCCTTTGAATACTTTAAAGGTCAAAATCATTATGTGAACCAAATATGAAAATATTCAGATTTTGTGATAAATAACCAATAGAGTAATAGTATATCAGGCATTATATAACCAAACGCACGTACACAAACCGATTATATCCAATTATGATTGACAGTAAAAGTTTTTTTTTTTTTTGGTTTGTTTTTGTTTTTCTCTTTCGATTTTATTATACTATTTTTATGATGACAATAAAAAAATATTACAACAAAACAAAGTCATCTGGTATTTTTTATTTTCGTAGATTATTATTCATCCATTTTAATTGAGTTAAAAAGAAAAGAAATTGATGATTATCACATGATAATATAATGATGATAATCCCTATGGATATTTATTTATCATTCAACATTTAATAATAATCCTCACACACACATACATAATAAACATTGATGTGAATTGAATGTTTGTGTGTGTGTGTGTGTGTGTGGGTGTGTGGGTGAGGATTATCGGAATTGTACTGAATGAATTAAACTGAACATATTGAGCTAATGTCAGCAGTAGTAGTAGTAGTAGTAGTCGGTAGTAATAAAATTCTACAAGTTCAATTGATTATCGGTTATTTTTGATTTAATTGTCCTTGAATTTTTTTTGTTTGTTTGTTTGTTTTTGTTTGGTTTTTTTTATTGGATTTTCGCAAAAAGGCTTCGTGACGGATACGGCTGATTATACAACGAACAGACAGCAGTTGTTTTCGTCATTCGGGTACAATTCTTAAAATATTCTATATTACGTAAGCAATTTATATAGACAAAATAACAACAATAAAACCTCCAAAAAAAAGACCATACAAACGAATGAATTATCGATATAGTTGCCGAATTCATGGTAAATGTATTCGGCACACCCACACACCCAAAATACACGTGTAGAAAAAAAAATGATTTTCCTATTTCTTTTTGTTTTTAATTCTTTTTTTTCAATATTCGAATCTCTGACCAGAATATATTTGAATAATTAATGTTGTTTTTTCCGTTGTTATATTACTTTATTCTGTTTTTTCATTAAATCACTGTGAAGAAAAATCGATGAAATGTGTTGAATGTAATAATAATAATTATTATTCTTGTGAATCTATCTATTTATTGATTTATCATTCGGTCTCTGTGCGTGTTTATGTTTTGTTTTTTTCATGGTTATTTTCCGCTCATTACAATCCATTCATTCATTTCATTTATTAATACTGTGTATCATATAAAGTCAGTAAGCAATGAACAAAAAAAGTAACAGAAAAAAAAATTTAGTATAGTTCCATGACGTAAGCAAAACAAAAAAAAATGCAACTCAAAATTCAATGTATTTTTTTTTTTTTTCGGACAAATACGAATTCCGTTGTCCCGGCTATAAAACGGTAAGAAGCTTAATATGGCGTGTTTGTTCATGTGTGCATGGCATGGCACACACACACACACAATCGACCAAACGACCGATATATATAGTTGGCGCCGATTTTGGACATTAATTTTTCGTTCAAGTTCCAATGCTTTTTAAGTTAGTGTAGATGGTCGACCTCTTTTTTCTCTATGAAATGTATTCTTTAAAATTCTGTATACAGAATTCATTCATTCAAGCAAAAGCAATGAGAGAGGATTCAACTATCACATTTTCAAACATCATCATCAGGTCAGTCGGTCAGTGGGCAAAACAAACACACACACACACACACACACACACACAGCATGCACAGACGCCGACATACTTTTTTTCCATTCATACAATTGATAATATTGTCGCATCTCTCTGTGTGCAGATGTAAACTAAAAAAAAAAAAAAAAAGATTGAGTTTGCGCAAGAATATTTTATATTTTTTTCCAAAATTTTGTTTGTTTATGGATTTTTCATTTTTGTTTTTTGTGCTTAATTTATTATGAATTATAATATGATGAAAATTATCAGGCGAATTTTGAATTTTGAAATGAATGAAAACAAAAAAAAAGTTGAATTTAATTTAATTCATAAAGAGAAAAAAGAATAACAACTCATCATTTGTCATATGATAATAATTTATTTGCATTTTTTTTGTTGTTTTCAAGCTTAGAATTTTTTTTTTCGAAAACAAAAATGAATATCAAACTTACCGAAATTTTTAAAGAAAAATAATTCTATAATGTAATGTTGTGAAAAACAAAAATAAAATTTGCAAATGATGTAAATGACGATGATTATATAATGAATGATGTGATGATGTGATGATAGATGTGTGTTGATGTAATCCGGTAATTAATAACAGAATAATTCTATTATCTTATTCTTGATAAACAATTAAGATTAAATTACACAATCAATCAATTTTTATTGTTGATTATCATACACACAAAAATGAATTATCTTTTGAATCATTAATCAAAAAGAAAAAAAATTCACAATTTCACGAATCAAGCACAATTTTTTTTTATAAATAACAACAAAAACAGAGAGAGAATGAGAAAAAAACCATGGAATGGAATAATTTTATTTTTCAAACTAAATCACAAACCAAAAAAAAAAACACCTAATTGTTGTTGTCGTTGTTGACGAATCAAGATCAACATGCTGAATGAATGATTGGACATTGGTCAAGATCAACATAGACAAGGCGGGCCTTTTTTTCCTGTGGATTCGATTCAATCGGGTCGGCTAGGTTTTTTGTTTTGTTTTGTTTTCCATATGTTTCCCAATGAATGAAATGGCAATGAAAAAAAAATCGTATTTGAAAATAGGGTAGTAGCAGCATACACTAAACAAAATCATTGTAAAAAAAATCGCGACGATGACAACAAGAAGAACCGGTAACGAACCAATGGATTGATTATTGGTGAAAATCAATTTTTTTTTTTGAAACATCAATTAACAAACAAACAAAAAAAATCGACATTGGATCATTTTTTTCGACTTGATGATGATGATTGATTGATTGATGTGACCAAAAGTAAAACACCACAAAAAAAAAATTATCCATCCATTCATTGGATTGATAAACATCGACAATGTTGTTGTTGTTGTAATTATTATTATTGTTCCATTGGTTAAAACACACACACATACACAAACAAACAAACAAACAAACAAATTGATGAAATCAATTAAATTTTCAACTCAATCTTTTGTATCTTTATCACCGGTTTTTTTTTCTTCTTATAACTTGATGACAAAAAAAGCCATATCGCCGTAAACACACACACACACAGACACACATTTAAACGGACAAAAACAAAACAAAAACCAACGGCAGCCAATAGAATTTGAAAATCTAATTTTATCATAAATGTAATGGTTATAAAAACTTTGATATTGAAACAATTCTTTCGTTTTTTTTTTCTGGATATGAGAGACAAATAGAAGATCACTGAGTGTGTGTGTGTGTGTGTGTGCATGTTCCATCAATTCGACAAATGTAGAAAAAAAAATTGTTTCTTTTTGGTTGTTTGATTGCAATTTCTGGTGACGTGTGTGTGTGTGTTGGTGCGAGGACTCTGTTGCTTTCTGTTGTTGTTGTTGTTGTTGTTGTTGGGTTGTTGGGTTGTTATCTCTATTTGTGTGTATATGTGTGTCTCATTCTTTCATTTGATATTTTGTCCTGGTAATTTGTTATTTTCGTATCATATTTTTTTTTCTCTCATTTCACTTTTCTTTTTTTTTTGAATGATGATGATAATAATAATCAATATATAATAATAATGAAATAATATGAAATGAAAAGACATACTAGATAGTAAGATATGTATTACAAGTATATCGAGTATTATTACTAGAGTACAATCATATATATAGTATATTTAAGTAAAGTCAAAAAAAATGTTATGAATGCGCCTGATCCAAAATTCCAATTCCAATTTCTTTTTCTTTTTTTTTTGGTTATAATAATAATCAAAAAAAAAATTTTTTTTTTTACCACTACCACTACTATGCTATATATATACGGATTCTTGTCTGTGTTGTGTTGTGTTGTGTTATTGGTCGTTGGTTGGATGATACATCCATTCAGGTTATATAATATGAAATGATTCTGATCATGTTTGTTTCTTGATCATGTGATCATATCCTATATAAGAATATAGACGAATCAGATGAATATTTTATCATCAACATTCTTGACAAATTGATTGATTCTGCGTTCGATCAATTTGATTGATAATTGTTTTTGATTTTGTTTTTTTATTATTATTGCTACCAGGGCCGGCCGAGGTGCCTGTGCAAACTGTGCACAGCACAAGGCCTCGCGCTGCCTTCCCCCTTTCCGCTGTATTGGCAAGGGCCTCGCAGCTCCAACTTTTCACCCTATTTTTGCACAAGGCCTCGCGATTTTCTGGGCCGGCCCTGATTGCTACTGCCACTTCTGCTAAATCCATTTCATTCAGATTAGCATTTGAATCATCATCATCATTATCATTGTTGTTGTTATCAATGAAAGAGAGAGAGAGAGAGAGATAGAGAAAAATGGAAAAATTTCATTTGGAATTAAAGAAAAAATAATTATTAAATATGGTTTCGATTTATCTGAAATGATAAAACGATGGTATAGATTTGGATAATTATAAATAATCAATTTTTTTTTGCTTTTTTTCATTAATTGAAATGTTATCAATCAATCAATCAATTGATTGGTGGAAATCAATGCGAAATATTGGAACAAACAAAAACTTGTTTGCATCGAATGTGAATGATTATCTTTGTTGTTGATTCGTCACTTGAGTTTTGTTTGTTGTTTATGGAAAAAAACTCTTTTGGTTGCCTGGTTAGTGTTTGTAATAAAAGCCACATCATCATTATTAAACCAGAGCGGTGGCAGCGCTGTTTCAATATAAATAAATAAATAAAACGTCAGGTGATTTATTTCACATCATCAGGATTGTTTGTGAAAAGTTATTTCTCTCTTCAATATCGAACGAAAAAAAAGATGCTTTCATCGGAAAAATATACGCTCAACAAAGTGAATATCGATGAATTAATTTTGGCCATTGATGATGGATTGAAAAAATTATTTGAAAAATGTCATGTTACATGGGAAGAATGTCCCGATCTTACAAAGGCACCATTCAATCTTGCTGCATCGGGTTTATGTGGACATCCATCTATCGCTGATATTGGATCCGTATCCAATTTATCTCCGATACCCAAACGTACAAAAATCTATACATTTGAACAGATTGCCCGTATTGTTACCGCTGATGATGATAATGACAAGAAAGATATTCGAGATTGTTTCATGATCGGTGCCGGTGCTGGACCATTTCATAAGATTGGACATAATTGTGAATTGATGCCCAATGTTTTGATGCATAAAAATGGTGATCATTTTGAAGTGGTCAATAATAATACCCAATATGCAGATGTTTGTATTTATTTTACAATATTTTTTTCAATTTTTTCACTTGATTATTTTAAAATTTTGTTGTTTTTTTCGATAAAGATTTTCGAAAACGGCTATCGTCTTGCAAAATGTGAATATCCGGAATTCGGTCTAATGGCCAATCTATACGTATCGGAAGGAAAACCAGGAAAAGTTATCAAAATTGTTGTGGAAAAACGACTGGGAAAGGAAAATTTTACCGAATCAATTCAATCTATTTTACGGGAAAAATATCCGAACAAATCAATGAGTATGGGCGGTGTATTTATCATTGAAAAAGGAAAAGCTAAACTACATATTATGCCGGATTTTGCCAAAGAACCATTAAAATCAACTGAAGCTGTTGATAATTGGCTACGTTATTTTGATATGGATCCACCATTGATATGTTTGACAACATTACATTCAAATGATCCCGGTCTTAATTTACGTATGGAACATACACATTGTTTTAGTGATCATAATCAAGGTGGCCATTATCATTATGATACAACACCAGATATTATTCGTATAACTGCTTATCTGAACGTTGCTGAAGCCATCTATCGGATTGATCGACCAACCGAATGAATGAAAAGAATCAACACCACAACTCTAACAACAGATGGCGACAATAGTGACAAAATAAACATGAATTTTTTTTTTCATTGAAATGATAAATGAATAAATGAATGGAAAAATTTTCAACAAAATAAAATGAGAATAGTTTGTCTAGACTCTAGAGAGAGAGAGAAAAAATCCGCTTATTCGTGACTTGTAAATTCTAAATTCTAAAGAACCACAAATTCCAATGATGATGAGAAACATTTTCAATTAAACAATGGATTACCAATACCAGAAAGAAAAAGAGAGAACCAATATTCACCAACAATAATTATTCATCATCATCATCATCAAAAATTGAGAATGAATAAAGAATGTGATTGGAAAAAAAATCAATTAACATCAAAATTGATTGATTTAACAAAATTCTAATTTCAATCACACACACACACACACACACAATTTAACACACACGAAAAAAAAATTTGGAATCAATCAGCATTTTAAATTAATGAATATTGAGTGATAAAATGGTTTTTGAAATTAACAATGAATAATTGAAAACAAAAATAATGACAAATTTTTGCTTACATTCAGAATTTTTTTTTTCATTCTGATTGTCATGAATGTGAATTTAAATTCTTAATCATTAATGAATAATTGGCATTTTTTGTGCATCTGTTTCACATTCTTGAACATGAAAATGAACAGAAAGAACAGAACAAAACAAAACAAAGCGAAATAAAAAAGATTTAAAAATTCAATTTGATTTTTGTTACCAATCACCATTTTTTTTTTTGTTTTCTTTGTTTAAATATTTCTTTCGGTCTTTTGGGAAATACGATTGATTTTATCAATCTCCAATTTCAAAATGTTACAAATGATGATGATATTTGTAACAGATTTTTGTTTCTTTTTTCTTCTTTGTACCTTACTTGTTTGTCATGTCATCATCATCATCATCATCATTTCATTTACGTCAATGATTGGAAAGAGAGAAAGCAAAAAAAAACCCATCTTATACTCATTATTTATGATGATGGAAACATTTCCGGTTCACTTCATTCAATCCATTTTCTGAGCATCATCATCTTCATGATCACGAGCATCTTATACATCAAAGCTCAATACATTTATTTATTATATATAAATAATGAAAGAAGAAAAATTCCCAATGCTTCTCTTTCTCTCTCTCGTTGATTTATTTCTCGAAAAACAATTTATTATTTAATTTACTTACATATATGGTGAATAACGAAAATAGCAAGCGCCAGAAAAAAGAATCGATCAGAAAATAATAATTTCAATAATTTATAATTGATCCATCATCATTCTTTTTATTGTCATTTTTTTCTGAAATGTTCATGTTCCAATTATTTTTTTTTGCACGAGAGGAGGGTATTAATTTTCGATTAATCATTCATCATCAGGATCAATTCCCCCCATCCATGTGAATAGAATTACCTGATTCTTAGGAATTTGAATAGGAAGTAAGAATTTTTTTTTATATATATTCATTTTATTTCCTAAAGGTAAATTAATTAATTTTTATGAATGAATATTCATTAACAAGGAATAGAAGAAAAAGAAAAAAGACACTTCTTCTTCTTTGAAAATTCTTATATTTTATCATCATGATAAATATCCGCAAAGAATTATGACAGAATCGTGACATTTTCGTTTCCGTTTGCGTTCATATTTATTCATAACTAAAAAAATCAGGTAAAAATTTCCAGTTTTTATTTCTTTTTCTTTTGTCTCATTGCATATTTCAATGTGAAAAATGTTGAATTTATTGAATAAAATAATATTGATGATGATGATGAATATTGAAAAATAGAAATAAGAAAGCAAAAATGTAAATGAAATTTTTATTTTTATTTTTTATCCATGAAGAAAAGAAGAATCTATGCAAGAATATTAGGTTACCAATGTGATGTTCGTGTGTGTGTGTGTGTGTGTTTTGGTAAACATACAGATGATTCAATTCATTGTCAACAACAATGGAAAAATGAGAATCTAACAACAAATCAAAATGAGCATCATATCGCATATAAATGAAAATAATGTTCATTTTACGAAAATGGCAAACAAACAAACATCAAACATTTATGATGATGTTGATGATGAAAGGAATTTGTTTTTTATTCCATCTTACATTATTATTATGGTCATTTTGTATGAGATTTGAAAATAAATCTATTCATCTGTCCAGCTATATAGCCATACTGAATTCAACTGTCCAGATAATTATTACTTGTTCATTTTTATTTTTATTTCTGTTTTTTTTTTTTGCTATCAGTTTTGTTAATTTTGTTTGTTTGTTCGTTTGGTTTTTTTTTTGTTTGTTTGTTTTGTAGATTACATAAGCAAACAAATAGGCATTTGTGAACAACAGATGTGACATTTTCTTCTTTTTTTTTCTTCATTCTGATTCATTCATTCAACGAATATTATTATTATTATTGATGCCACGATCATTATCTTTGTCATCATGATTGGACATGATGATGATGATTTTTGCGATAACCAATGATAACCAATCCAAAATACGAAGACATTACAATGGTAAAAAAAATGAACGGGAAAAAAGATGTTCTAATACAGGGGTCGGCAACCTTTTTCGGACAGCGGGCCATTTTCAAAATAAAATTTTTTATGTGGGCCGCACATTCAAATATAACTTAAATAGTGCTTTTATATCATATACGACAGGGATGGCAAACTTTTTTTGATGTCCGTGCCACAAATTCATAAAAATTCCTATTTAAATATGTAACGTGTCACAATAAAATTTCATTCGAAAATGGCAAATGTCCAAACTAACACGACCAGTTCAGAATCGAGAAAATAACAAGTCCAAACTAACACGACCAGTTCAGAATCGAGAAAACAACAAATCCAACCTAACACGACCAATTCAGAATTCAAAATTGAGAAAATAACAAGTACAAACTAACACGGCCAGTTCAGAATCGAGAAAATAACAAATCCAACCTAACACGATCAGTTCAGAATCGAGAAAATAACAAATCCAACCTAACACGATTAGTTCAGAATTCAAAATTCAAAATAAAAAAAATAACAAGTCAAACTTAACACGACCAGTTCAGAATCGAGAAAACAACAAATCCAACCTAACACGACCAATTCAGAATTCAAAATTGAGAAAATAACAAGTCCAAACTAACACGGCCAGTTCAGAATCGAGAAAACAACAAATCCAACCTAACACGACCAATTCAGAATTCAAAATCGAGAAAATGGCAAATCCATACTAACACGATCAGTTCAGAATCGAGAAAATGGCAAATCCATACTAACACGATCAGTTCAGAATCGAGAAAATGGCAAATCCATACTAACACGATCAGTTCAGAATCGAGAAAATAACAAGTCCAAATTAACACGGCCAGTTCAGAATCGAGAAAATAACAAGTCCAAACTAACATGACCAGTTCAAAATTCAAAATTCAAAAGTCCAAACTGAACCAAACTGAATTTGAATTATTATCGACTTTTACAACATTTTTTCGAATCAGATAAAATTTTTTTTGATGATCATTTGTTAATGTTATTCATTGTGTGGAAAATTACAACAACATATTCTGAAAATAAATATTTCCATCTTCAATGGCAGAACATCCGATACATATCGAATTAATTAAATGTAACAAACATTATTTAACTCTGAATCCTGGAAAACAGAATTCATCATTGAAAATAATTTTTAATAAATCTAAAAAACGGTATCGAAACCAACCCATTCTGGTAACTAGAATAACTAACCATCTGAACTGGTCGTGTTAGGCTGGACTTGTTATTTTCTTGATTTTCAATTTTGAATTCTGAACTGGTCGTGTTAGGCTGGACTTGTTATTTTCACGATTCTGAACTGGTCGTGTTAGTTTGGACTTGTTATTTTCTCGATTCTGAACTGATCGTGTTAGTATGGATTTGCCATTTTCTCGATTCTGAACTGATCGTGTTAGTATGGATTTGCCATTTTCTCGATTCTGAACTGATCGTGTTAGTATGGATTTGCCATTTTCTCGATTCTGAACTGATCGTGTTAGTATGGATTTGCCATTTTCTCGATTCTGAACTGATCGTGTTAGTATGGATTTGCCATTTTCTCGATTCTGAACTGGTCGTGTTAGTTGGGATTTGCCATTTTCTCGATTCTGAACTCTGAACTGATCGTGTTAGTTTGGATTTGCCATTTTCTCGATTCTGAACTGATCGTGTTAGTTTGGATTTGCCATTTTCTCAATTCTGAACTGATCGTGTTAGTTTGGATTTGCCATTTTCTCGATTCTGAACTGGTCGTGTTAGTTTGGATTTGTCATTTTCTCGATTTTGAATTTTGAATTCTGAACTGATCGTGTTAGTTTGGACTTGTCATTTTCATGATTTTGAATTTTGAATTCTGAACTGGTCGTGTTAGTTGGGATTTGCCATTTTCTCGATTCTGAACTCTGAACTGATCGTGTTAGGTTGGATTTGTCATTTGTGATGTTGATTGTTGCAAATTTGTCGACACAATATTTTTTTAATTTAATATTTTTCCTAAAATTATGTTGGTGCTTTGGTGGGCCGCACAAAAAGTTGTAATGGGCCGCATGCGGCCCGCGGGCCGCAGGTTGCCGACCCCTGTTCTAATATATCCGAAATGTGGTTTTTTTTGTTTCCATCTTATCTCGTCCATTTGTGTGTGTGTGTGTGTGTGTGTGCGTGTGATGATGATAATATCGATATCTGATTATTAGCGTTTCGTGTAATTTTTGTTCCCGATATATTTTATCCCATTATTCACTTGATTCAAATTGTGTTTTTGTGTGTGTGTGTGTGTGTGTGTTATTATGAATATGACATTTTTCTGGCAAATGAAGAAAAAAAAAATTTTTTGTTCCACGGAAACTTATCCATAATCATTCGATCATTATTTATCAGCATTTAATAGAAATAAAATCCATTGCACAATGAATGAATGAGAATCACAAAATCAGTTATTAATGGCAAAATAAAACTAATTAATCATTGATCGATTATATTTTGTTTTTTTTTTGTTCTCTCATTTCTGGTGATGATGATGATGATGATGATGATGATGAAATTCAAAATGTTAACCCATTTACTACCAAATTTTATTCCATA